CATGGAATTCTGAAGTCCATGTGGCTCCTCACAGTGAACAAGGTGACATGTCTCCGTGAGAATTCACATCTTCATTACCACTTTATTCATTGTGAGAGCTGGAAAAAAGCTTTGGGTTTGGCCACTCCACCCCCTTCCATTTAACAGATGAGGAATCTGAGGCCACAGAGAGGTTAATGATTTGTCCAGAGTCACACGGCAAGTTAGGGATAACATCAGTCCAGAATCCGTGTCTCCATGTCTCACCTCATCCGTCACCTCTTTGCTGCACAGTTCCCTGCTTTCTCCTCTCCCAAGAGGACGTCTTCTACCTCTGGGTCTGAATATCCTCATCTGTGAAATGGGGTGATAACACTCTCCTCAGTGGGATTGAATGTTTAATGGCATGATGGATGGAAACAGGATTTGGAAAATGTCAGCGAGCTCTAGGGATGTGAGATGTGAGCAGTCCTTATTTATGGTTGCCGTGGCAATCTGATAGGCAGTGAGAGTGTTGGGAAACTCTGGCTCATGCCATGTGTTGGCTTTCAGGTCTTAAGGAAAATGCAGAGACGCCACAGCAGTAACACGGATAATATTCCACCTGAAAGGTAAGCACCTCCTGGTTTCCTTCTACCTAGGGGCTCTGGGTTTCGGACGGTCGGGGGCAACCCAAACCTGGATTGAATACCTGCTTTTCAGGGTCACTTAGAGGAGCAAAGGAGTAACAACACTGAAAGAAGATCTTTATTACTTACATTTCCCGAGAGAAGGGGGCATGTCACACCACGTAGGGCCACATGGGGAAGTGTCAGCGTCAGTCAGGAGGCAGAAAGGAGCCAAGCGAAAGCATAGGCCACCGCTTTTCTTGTGTTTTCTGCACAAAGCAAGGCAGAGCAGGGAAACAGCTTAGCATTGTCTAGTTTGAGTAATGTCAGTGGGCTCTGGGCTATCTGATGGTCTCTGGTTGTCCGGTACCTGATCCTGGGTGATTTGGGGCAGGAGAAATATTGGCTGGATGTGTGAGTATTAGATCAAGGAGGTGGCTGGGGATATAGGCTCTGCATCGAAAGGGAGATATAAACAACTTTGGTTATTAATTTGGCCTTGTAATTAGTGGATGCCAAACAGACAAATACAGAATCTATGAAAACACAGTTAAAACACTCATGAGCTAGAATT